ATCCTTTTAAATTCTGTAAAATCTGTGGTAATGTCTCCTAGATCTTGATATTGTGATTTTTAAAATGTATAATTGATATTGTATAATAGGAAGAAATGATCTAAAGGAGTAGGGGAATTGGGAGGGGTAGGGGAAAGGAAAGAAGGGAAAAGAAATGGAAACAAAGTCTTTGCAAATAGGGAAGGGTGGAGGGGATGAAGGGAGGGAAGGGGAAAAAAATACAAACCAAGATACTCATGTAAAGGTACAAGATCCCAGTGATGAATGTAACTGTATTTTAGATCTAACATGTACCAGCAAACTTAATGGAAAAAAAAACTAAAAAGAATCTTTTGCAATAATAATTCTAAACCTACTAAGATACACTATAGAAACAAGTTTAACATGTTAGGCTTAGCTGGTAAATAAATTAAAGCTTGCATTAACAAATTCTTTACCTTCTTTATGGCGGTTGAAGAGGATGCTCTGTGTTTTCAGAATTAAAATTATATTTTCTGGATCTGGCCCATCCACTATTTTTGTTGATTTGGTACATAAAAATTCATATGCTTTATTTACTTTTTCAAACATATCCTGTATATAAACAAAAATATTTTAATTTTAATTTGTAATTTCTCAAATCACAATACAGTTAGTTTGTAATTTACAAATAATTTCTTTAGTTATTATTTTTTTGCATTAAGGAATTCATTCCAACTGTAATCTAGCTGGTATACTGCTGGTGTAAAACTATTTTTTTCCAAATAGCTATCCAATGATCTCAGTACTGTTTCAAAGTTCTTCAAATAAAAATTTAAAATATATCATGTTGGGAATTTAGCTCAGGGGCACCATGCCTGCCTCACAAGCAAGGTTCTGAGTTCGATCCCTGGTACTGCAAAAAAAAAAAAAAAAAAAAATTCTTGTCACTGTGTCATATTAAACTCAAAGTCACTGAAGAGTCTGAGGTAACAGAAAAATTATGGTAAGAGCTTATTGTTAATTGAGCACTATGCTAGGGACTGTGCTAAATGCCATTATTATTTTTAAATCCTTAATGCAATAGAAAGCCAAGGAAGAGTTTGGAGTAGAAGTAATGTGGCATAATTTGCTTACTGAAAACAACCCTGGTGCAATGGAGTGAGTGATCAGAGGTATAAAAAGTAAATGGTGGGCTGGGGATTTAGCTAAGTGA